CGGAAGTGGCGCTGTGGCTCAAGTGGTAGAGTGCTAGCCTTGAGCTGAAGAGCTGAGGGACAGCGCCCAGGCCCAGAGTTCAGGCCCCACGACCAGACCCAAAAAAAAAAAAATCATATCTAGTCCCAGGGTGGAAAATATTTTTTTAGCATGTACTATCATATCACATGGACTAAGATACTTGCAAGTATATTCATAGAAATTAAACTTACCCAATTACTTTGTAAGCTGATAACATGAGAGGTGTTTGCCCATTCACATCTGTCATATTCACACTCTATTAAAAAAGCAGAATCAATTAGCAAAACTGTAAAAGACAATCATGATCCTCAGATCTCTGCCTACTGAGTAGCAAGGATTACAGGCATGAACCACCACCAGTGCCTAGCCTGTGCTTCACTTTCATAGGGTAAAAATCCATAGATTTTTTTTTTCTATTTTCAATGATGGGCAATGATGGGGTTTGTACTCAGGGTCTTACAAATAGTAGTTAGATTCATCACCAGTTAAGCCAATCCCAGCCAAATCCATGCATTTCTACAAAATATTTTTAAAGAAAGAAATGTGAATATAGTATGAGTTATTGGATGAGTTATAGAAGTCATGTATCTCATATATCAGTTATATAATGTGAATAGAAGACATCTACAAATAAAATATTGATAGCCACCAAATATGACTTAGAGACCTTTGAAGTCACCTACTTATTTTAACTGAAATATGTTCATGTACTCATTTATCATGCAAAGTTGTCCATTTTCTATTAAAACATTACCAGTAATACTGAATTCCCTATCTTCTGAGTCCACTTGTATTTTTGTACAGCAGTTCTTAATATTAAAACAAAAAATATATTTTCTAGAATACAAGCAAGAGGAACAAAAAGTCATACCTCCCTAAGGATATGCTCCTTTATTAAGACAAGCACACATTTAAGGTGTATAACAATGATAAAAAAAGTTTCAGTTACTGAAGATTCATATGGGCCTTGGAGAAAAACTTGGGAAGGAACCAGAGAAAAGCAGAAAGGATTTTTCCTCATATATCATTCCAAAATGAAGCCCAGGAGGCTGAAATGGTCATACTTCAACTGGATAAGCTTGAAAGAAAAGTGCTTATTTAAAGGTAGCACAGTCATTGCAACACCATTCATGCAAATACATCTCCATGCCTGTTCTAGGCAAGACTGGTAATATGTAAACTACTTTGTGTCCAGAAAGCACATTCCAGAGAAGTATAGCTGACAATGAAACTCTCACTGCCAGTAACCTATAATTTAACCAGTGCCGCTTAAGGCAAGTCATTTTTCGTGGAATTACTTTAGCTATAAGAAGCACATATTCAAATTGGTCTCCCATTTGGTCTCAAATAGTGACAGCCAATGATGGGATTTTTAATGTTACTACCATCTCTACAGTCAATAAAAAGAAATGATAGGCTTTGAAAATGTTTTTGAAAACCTCATCAAATTACTGGGTTCATAAGAAACACCATTAGAAGCTTGCAAGCTTTAGAAACATTATATGTTACTGACTTAAATGAGCTGTACTTTTCCCTCCAATAAAGCTGAAAACAAAGTATTTATTTAACAGCTAGACTTAAAGGTTAAAGAGGTTAAAGTCTGCCTATCTGGATAGTCATAAGCTTCCACTGTAAAAATGAGGCAGACTAAGAAGATACGACAAAGAAAACAGGGCTCAAGAAACAAAGGGCCTCTTCTTACTTTGTCATATCATTTCTAGATGAGCCCATGTTCTTGACTCTCATACAGAGTATATATACATTAGCACATCTGAGGGAAGATAGGAGGAGGGCACAGAATCACAGGAAAACAGGAAAAAATACAGCAGAGGGGCCCATCAGCTGCACTGGACATTGATGACATCAAATTAAGCAACTCAAGGGCAGCGATGGGAGGGAGGGAATGAGAGCGAAAGTGGGAAGAGCTTACACTAAGCAAAAGTAAAGAAATGTACACATATCACTCAATTTGGAAAAAAAAAGCTGTAGTGTCAAAGTTTGTAGAGACCATAAACTCTATAGACCACAATAATGACAATGTGCCTCGTGAAGGTTAAAATGTGTTTGTGACTTTAACTAAGTATCTTACAATACTGTGAATTTTGTGAAATTTATGTAATCAATCTCAATAAAGAAAAAAAAATGAGGCAGACTAAAACTAATAATCTTCCCACTTCAAATTATAGTACCTGGAATAGAAGAGACATTCCAGAACATACCTGCCCCTTTGAGATGAGATATGCTATGATAGGCATATGTTGAAATAATACTGCCAGGTGAATGCTGCTGAATCCTTCTCCATCAATGAGAGTAGGGTCTGCACCATATTGGAGTAACAATATGACCATAGGTAAATGCCCTTGCCTGTAAGTAGAAAATAAAAACTAATGCTGTATCTGTACAACATAATTCATGCAGAAAAAGAAAAAAGTTTCAAGTAGAAACTAATATACCTAAGGATTTTTGTAACAGTAACACTTTGGAAACATAGGAGAGATTGTGCACTGTTTTTTACTTAAATTATTCAAACGTAGAACTACATATAGTGCTTCCTGCCAGTAAGTAATACACTAGTAACTTCTTAATCTAATTTAAAACTTTATGCTGCTATCATGTGGAAAAAGTTTCATATGACTAATTAATGCTAACAATGAAAAGTTTACACCCTTAGACTTTATTGTTGCTAAGCCAAAAATAATCAGGAATATTTTGACATTCAGGAATATAATATTTAGACTGTGAGTACATGGTGACAATATTAAAAAATATCTTCATTAACCCAAATATAGTTCATGCAAAGCAATAATAAACTTCACTAGCTTCAAGGGATGATTTACCCTAGGTTCTTCATTCAAGACTATGAAGAGAAAAAAAAAAAAGACTATGAAGAAACAAGTTTCAAACTCCTTGCCTTACAGGAACAACTATTCACTTTCTTTTTCTTTGGTGCTGCTACTGGGGCTTAAACTCAGGACCCCATGCTCTTGCTTGGCTTTTTTGCTTAAGGCTGGCACTCTACCACTTAAGCCACACCTCTATTTCTAGCTTTTTGGTGGTTAACTGGAGATAAATCTCCAGGATTTTTCTGCCTGGCCTGGCTTTGAACTGGGATCCTCAGATTTCAATCACCTGAGTAGCTAGGATTATAAGCATGAGCCACTGACACCCAGATTGTAATTTCTTTTGCAAGGGAAAAAGCCATTCAATAGTCTGTAACTGTTTCACAGTTGTCTAACTGATTTACAATATGGTGTCCACTAGCCAAATAAATATTAATTTCAGCATTTAAAGAAACCTTACCGGATAGCCCAATGAAGAGGAGTTGAATTTAAATCACCACCCAACTGGTCTACAACAGCACCTTTTGAAATATAAAACCTGTTAAAACAGAGAAACATGCAAATAAGGTTTTAAAATTATTTTTCTTTATTAATAAATGTGCTATAAAATAGAAATTATAAGTTTTCATTAGGGTCCCAGATCTACAGCAGTCTCAGTAATTTATATGGCAGTATCAGACAAACTCCTAGTAAAACACTATTGCATATAAATAATTGATCCTGCTGTAATTAACATTCCATTATAACTCATGATAACTATGTTGCAAATCCTAACTACTACAATTTTGAAACTGTTTTTAGTCAAAAGATTTGGAGTTACAAATTCTACTTGGGAAGATAAAATTGTATTCAGCAGTTCAAAATTAGAATTATTATGTGAGAATGAATTTTTGAAGTAATAAAAAATTAGTCTTCTTAGAAAAGTGATAAACTTTGAATGTTTTGTAAAAATTAAAGTCTTCTTAGAAAAGTGATACACTTTGAATGTTTTGTTTTCTATTTTGGAAGCATAGGTAGGCTTTCATGCACTATATAATTCTGTAATACAAAATAGTCACATGCACATTACATTTTATATGTTAAGGTATTAAAAGAGGAGATAATAGAAATTTATGAAGGGGAAATCTTTTATAAAATTACATCTTTATGTAATTATCAAAAAGTAATTGTCTTTATATTATTCCTGACATTAAAATGCAAAATATATCAATGTTTCTTCTTCTTTTTTTTGTTGGTTGTTGAGCTTGAACTCTTGGCCTGAGTGCTGTTCTTCAGCTACTCAGCTCAAGGCTAGTGCTCTACCACTTAAGCCACAGTGCCACTTCCGGCTTTCTGGTGGTTTATTAGAAATAAGAGTTTCACGGCCTTTCCTGACCAGGCTGGCTTTGAACCATGATCCTCAGATCTCAGTCTCCTGAGTAGCTAGGATTACAGGCATTAGCCACCAGCGCCCAGCTCAATGTTTCTTCTTGAATTAGATGAAACCTTTATATGTCCTGAGAAAGCTTGTTAAGATTTTCTGTTCAAAAAAAAAAAAGTTCACTTTTATTTCCTGGTCTTTATCTTTATAATGGGCCCCTTTGAATTCCCCAAATTTTTCTTTTGGACCAGTGAGAGTCCTGGACTTGTGGACCTCTAAGTTCTTTTTTTTTTTTTTTT